TGTGTGTGTAGTATATGTATATACATATATATATATATATATATATATGCAGTTATATATATATATGCAACTATATTATATTTCTGTATCTATCTATATCTGTCTACAATATATATATATATATATAGTTGTGTGTGCGTGTATATATACATGATGTATTTATGTATGTATGTATGTATGTATATATGTACATATATGCATGTATACGAGAATATATACACATTTATATACAAGCATATATGTAAAGTCTCATCTACTGGCCCAAAAAATAGTATTGTTTTGTTCACATACTTGTTCGTTGCATTATTCGCGACAAGGCTTGCAAGCAATCTTGCATGTGAAATTACCAGCAGGGGTCGGGCCTATCCAGCTTCGTTAGAATGTATACGTCAGTGCACGTCTTTAGTCTAAAATGTATATGGTTTATACTCATTTAGCTCTCTTCCGGTATTATACTAATAGACACATCGAATTGGATTTTATTTTATGGATAGTAGAAATAAGGATCACAATAGGTTTATTCACAAGTATTCTCTGTGTTTATATAAGTGTACTTTCAGCGGTAATGGCGGGGCTGAAATCAATTCCTCTAGGGACAGTTCTCAATGAATTGAAGATGGTTCCGATGACGACGAGAGGCTCTTCCTGTGTGTTCATAACAGTATGAATGTGATTACGCGATCGTTGTGTATATTCGTTTCCTAATATCAGCGTATTATATCCACCTGTCTTGTTCAAGACGGCGCTCTAACTATTAGAAAATGTATATGCTCCTCCCGAAATCTTTACGCAAACTGGCCAGAGCTCGAACGTATCAAATGGGCATTGTTAACGTAGTTCCGTTTTTTCTGGTACAGGTGTGTGGATATTGACAATTCAATGGCACATACTCTGGTTCAGACGCATCTGCGTCCGGGGGTTCTTGAATCTTGGCGATTGAAAGTCCACAACTGGTTTTCAGTTGAAGTTCGTGCTTCTGCTGTAATACTTCCGTGTAACGATCTTGAAGCCATTTGAGACAGTCAACAGCTGTATCAGGCAACAATTACAAAGTGATTTACTTGTTCGCGAGTAACGAATCTGACGCTCGAAGTTTTATGCTATCATTCCACCCCTCTTAATACACTCTCAATAAAAACTATCATACATCGTGTACAGTTGACTATGCTAAATTTGAAGTCGATAGGCAACAGCCAGGACTGCGGCATCTCTAACATGTGTGCAGTACAATGGATATAGCTTTATGAAAGTCAAGTGATCCGAAAACAACTCCGAAACTTCAATTATACTCATACCCTCTCTGAGAACTTCAGCTTTTGTGTAGGTTTGGGGGTGTGGTAAAGTAGTAAGATTTCCCGCCTGCTTGTTCTGGAACTTCAACTGCATGGTCTGGTTGAAACAAACAACATGGCAATATGAGGCTCGCAGAAGAACCATATTATCATACGCTACCGATTTTTGTCTATGCGTGCCTCGAACCAGAAAAGTTGCCTTCGGACTGTTTTGCTTTACATCGAACATATTTTGCAAGTTTCAAGATCATCAAGAACGCATACCACTTCTAAACGCAAATCTTCGATGCTCGCCTTGAACATGTCACGACGTTTCTGCTCCGTATCTCGATTAGCCATTTTACGCTCTGGTTTTTCGCTCGACTTTGTAGCTGCCGGAGATTTGCTGAGGGCAGCTGGCGATGACAAAGACTGTTGCAGCTGCTTAGGGTATTGTTCTGTCGGATGCTGCATGTGTCTTGCCACATACATCGCTTCAGTTGAACATATATAGCCCTGTGCAGACGTGTGACAAAGCAATATCACTCTCTTTGATTGGAGCAACATGCCAACGAAGGCTTGAGAACAATGATGCTTCGGGTTGCAATATGCCCGACAGCCGCGGCAGCGACTCATATTGATGTGTTGTGTAGATATAGTGTGCCATACCTGCTTATGCCCAGGGTCAGTCAGAATCGCACCCCCTGGGTTGGCCTCATAATCGCACAATGTACTTGCAATTGGAACAGTTGCACTTCGCCGGACTATCGGACGTAATCCTATTTGTGGTAAAGCTGATGCTGCTTGGGCATCCACCTTTGCTTGTTTAGCGTTTGGTAGGTCCTCGGCATTCAGTGCACTATTTTTTCTGATTATAGATTTTGTGGGCGCTAATCACTTATTACTTGTAGTTTGTGGCATTAGGTGTATGGCACAATTGGGAGTGCGTTTTGGCACATAATACAATCTTTCGTAGGATCTAAAGCAAGTGCGTTTTCTCGCTCTATGTGCATACCTCGATGCGATATATGTACAATTTTGTCACGCTCGATGATTGCAGATCTCGATTGCGTAGATGAGATTGATAAAGAATAGTAGAACATGGAAGACCTGCGACGCCATCGTCGTTTTTTGATAAACTAATTTGTGTAGTAATCGTCAATGTATGGTACGCCGTAAATCTCAACGAGCTTTTTGCACACGGAGCACTGCCATATGATTGCAATCATAGTGAAGTGCAAGTCTATTCACGGTTGTGGATCCCCATATAGTAATAACTCTTACGAGATATAATCACAAGGTACTGCGTATGGAGCAATTTGCTTTGCTTACACTATTTTGTAGGGCAAATATACATATGCCATATTTCCAATGGAAACAACGGTACCTTTTAATAGATTTCGCCGTACTGCGGGTGGTCCTTTTTCTACTCATAGTGTTTTGATTATAAAGACTTTTTGAAGGTTTTTAATTACGTTTCTTGGCCGGAGGTGAACTTGCGAATATGGAAAGCTTGCAAGTAGTATCCTGTAACTAATTCTCGTCAGTCTTATTGTTTGATACATACATACTTTCATATGCATTTGCGTTGGTAAATTTGCACGTGTGCGAATACCTCTCATTGTGATACATAAAATCTTGGCGATCCAAACGTGGTATAGAAGCTTTAGTTCTAAGTAAGGTTATCAAACCGAAAGCGATATCAATTTGCACCACAGGAGGACGATGAACAACATGGCACCTCGCCAAACCTAAATGCCGGTGTAGTCAAATAAGCGACGACGATAAATTTTGAATCCACAAACGAAATCGACTCAGATCGCTTGCTTTTAGTAAAGCTAAGATATCGATGTGCGATTGGTTCGGAAAGGTGTCAAGGGGATTTTGGAGGGAATATCGTTTTAGGTTTGTCAGATTTGAGCAGAAATTATCCTGTCCCGGATTCGTATATGAGACTCCGAGAACAGTGGGCCCCATTACCCTTGACCCATTGAGTCGTGTTACATGCACCCATTCTTCGAAATAGGGGGCAGCTGCTCCTGCATTTCCACAAAGTTTGCTTTGTGTGGTTCTGTGCATCTGTATTGAAATGTTAAATACACAAAAATAAAGAATACCACACAGAATACGGATAAATACTTAAATAGCAGCTTATGTATTTATTATCTGCAAAGCCTGAGATCCATATTGCACTCGCAGTTTCGCGTATTAGTTCAATCCGTCTGGGAGTAGTGTGTGCATACTTAAACGACAACATTTTTTTACTGATATCGGAGATCCAGAAAGAAACGTCAGAATGGTAAGTTTAGGACCATGGTGACAATGCAGAAAGCGATCTGAGAGCAAACAGTGACTCGGGCAAGTTGTACCAAAACCAAGTCCTTACCCATAGGTCGCATATATATAGGATATCATGGCCTACCTTCACAGATTCCTATGCTAACTCAACATCTATGATAGTATATACGAGTAGACAATTTGTATACTATATCGGTAGTACGGCTAGTATATAATCACCTTCGTAAATTTTATGCACAGGCTCCAGAACTACATAAACATGCGTGTGTTTCGATAGACTGAAATTGTACTAGGTATACTTAGAAAAGAAATCACATGCATGTAGATTTATATATATATATATATATATATAATATATATATATATATATATATATATATATATATATTAGTTGTTTGTTATGTATTATATTTTTCTCATATTTTTGTGTAAATTATTTATAAATGTAAATATAGATGTGTGTGTGTGTGTATTGATATATGTAAGCGTATGTGGGTGCCAGTGTGCTTATGAATCAATTTCTGTATATATTTGCATATGTATTTGAATACATTTACATACTTATATTTATCAACTATATGTGTGCATGTGGTTGTGTATATAATGAATGTATTTTATTTCTTTGATCGTGTGGAAGAGATGTTTACAAGTACGTGTTCATATATATATATATATGTATATATGTATATATATATATGTATATATATATATATATATATATATATATATATATATATTAGTGTATTATATTGATCGAGCTCGTATTCTCGTGTGAAGTGTTCACCGCGTACGGTAGAAATTATGCGAGCTCTTCTCTCGAAGCTAATAGAATGTGCTCAACCTGTCATCATGATAGGAATATGAATGAATATCTTTTCCGATTCTATACGAGGGTATCAGTGCTGCCTGTTTTGAAATATGACTAACCATTTGGTAGATGTTCCACCGTTACTTGAATCGTTGTTTGGGACATCTGTGAGTGCCTAGGTTTTATGAACTTTTGTTGTCGCAATTGGAACAGCTGTGCCATGTTGCCAAACTTAGTTCGCGGGTTATTTTATGCGGGAAATTCGCTTATATATTCGGTTTCTTACTCACGCTTTATCAGGTGTCAACGGAGCAGACCATCAATACGATGCATGATGACATGATTGTAAGTACGCGCATTCTGTACGTGACTGTCTCTGCCTGGGCCTATGTACATTATGTCGATTTGGAAAGAAAGATTAAATATTTCCGATTACCAAGTGCTTTCATTATATATGGTGGAACACACCTGCCACCTGGTCGTATAGGATTGTGTTGTCCTCGCAGCGCTTTATTTATGTAGTCAGTTAGTCTTGCATATGTATACCTCAAGTGCTACTGTTGGTGCATAACCGATATGTAGATGTTGAACGTACGGTCTGTTGGCCTATAGGTGCACAGGCAGACGTGAAAAGTCCCTATCGTACTGAATACGTGTTAGAAATACTAACCGACGGCTTTTTTGCATTGATACCGTGGCCCAAGATACGTCACTATACCTTCACCTACAAAGTTATGTCTCAGTTATTCTGGCTGGGTGTCACAATGGTGGTAGTGTACACTGGGCAAGTTCATGGAGTGTTTTTTTTGTATTTTCCTGTGATCGGCGCGTGCATTACACATATCCTCATGCGGCGTGATTAATAGCATCGGTTCCATTCCCTTCCACCCAACAGCATGATGCTCAATTAGACTATTACAGTCGGAAGTTGGCTACAGCCTCCTCTGACCGCACCGTGAGATTGTTCGACGTGATCGAGACTGGCCAATATCAGGCCATCGCAGAACTAAAAGGCCACACAGGTAATACTTGAGTCTCCTTTTGATTTTGACAATTGACGGTACCATACAAGCCGAACGCTTTTCCAATTCTTGTGGTGGTTTCGATCTATCTGGTTTAATATCTGAGCAGGTTGGCCGAAGACGAGCTTTGTTTTGTTTTAAATAGTATTGAACTTGACACTTGAGCAGACAAATATAATGATTTAGTATAAAACTCACGTTTCGGGGCTATACGGTCCATAGAGTCTATGGTTATTCCTTTCAATATTTTTAGATGGAAAGGAAATCATATGGTGTTCTCGCTACATTTTTTACATAGTATATTGTCCAGTTGCATGTGTGCTAATTCGATACAGTCCGTGCGACGGACTCTTTGAGCAAATATTGCAAACCCTTTGCTGTTTCCTAGGTTGTATGCTTGCGCAGAATTACTCACTAGGTGTATCTTGCGCGCAAGTCATGAATGTATGTGTGTGCAAGTCTTTTTAACCTGGCATTTGCTTGTGTGTGCTCTTGACGTTGTTGTTGCTGTTCGGTCAAGTGTCGGTACATCTATGCATAGTTGCACTGAGTTTAATGTCTTTTTGGAGCGTCCTGTGTTCTACTCTGCGACAAAGACGAACAGAACTAAGCAACCAAATTCACAATTCTTTGCGCAGGAGCCGTGTGGCAAGTGAGTTGGGCGCACCCGAAGTTTGGTAATTTGCTAGCATCGTGTTCCTACGACAACAAGGTTATAGTGTGGAAGGAAAACAACGGTCAATGGCAAATGGCATGGGATTCGTCTTCCGTATCGCTGCACTCGTCGAGCGGTATGTGTGTTCGTTTGATTTGGTTACTTGTTTTTGGTGGCATTTGCGTGGTTACAATCACAGTGAGCGTCGCCGTATAAACTCAACTTTACACACTCATGTGTTTGTTCGATAGTTAGTCAAGTTCATGTGATCTGTGAGGAATAGCACGTATCCTTTATCAAAGATTGTGTGTGTACTAGGGTATGTATTCTCCAACCGTTCTGAATTCTTGCGCTTGTCAAAATGTTGATGGAGAATTAGACCCCCTCACATCTGCTCAGCGTCTCTCGCCAAACACATAGCTGGGAAATAGGTTGCCTTCGAGGCCCTTACAGCATTTACTTGAACGTGCTTTTTAGAATGCACGGAAAATCAATATATATTTATATATATCGAAAGCATATCCTACACGGCCCCTAAAGGTCGGATTTGGGGGTTTTTTGAGTACCTGTACATAGGTAGGATGTTAGACTTGAGGGGACGTGTAGGTCGTCCGTAAGATCGTTTGCATAAGCCTTGTTTTAGGTTCAATCAGATGCTGTGTGGCTGGTAGAATATGTTTGTTGTTCTCGAAGCTCTGGTAAGGGTCTGAAAATTGGAAAGAATATTTGGCTTATTTTTTCCTTTTCAATTCCGTTAAAATATATTGTATACGTACAGTAAATTCTGTAGCTTGGTGTCCGCACGAATACGGTCTTCGACTTGCTTGTGGATCAGCTGACGGGAACGTGTCCGTAGTTACATACAACCCGGAGGATTCTACATGGGTTAAGGTATTTGCAGCACTTGGAGCCCTAAAACGATAGAGTCTGTTGTGCACATATTGTATACGTCATTCACCAAATTTAGAGTGAGAATGTCAGAGATAGTGGTTTCTCAATCGTATTCGTTTCATTTTGCCAGACGACCTAGATTTTTCCACGCGCTTGCCTGCAATTGCTTTCTACAACGGTAGCGTACAAATGTGGAGTGAAATTATATCAGATGCTGGCACCTTGAACGTAACCGTATTGTTCTTCAGATATAGTATCGGCCACGCGCTTGTGTTCGCTTAGAATTTGCAAAGGTAGAATTTTACATACGCATGGATGGCGACTATAGCGAGGCTGTGGATATTCCAATACTGTGCTGTAAGCGCAACTTAACCATCGCTTTTAAATGAGTTTCGCATGGACCCATTTAACGTTGCCATATAGAAATCGCGATCAACTTAATTGACACAGTTATAATTAGAATGTATTTCATATTTGAACTAGTTTCATGGGATCACAATTCCATATATATGCAAGGTCAAATAGAATATCAGAAGAAGTAGGAATCAGTCTGTGTATATTCATTTAACCGAAATCGTTTCCTCGTCACAGTCATACGTAAGTCAAGATACCCACGGCGAGGGTGTCAATGCAGTATCTTGGGGCCCATACCAAGAACAAGCGAACCCCCGATTGGCCACAGCGGGATGCGATAACAAAGCTAAGATTTGGGAATTGATTGTAAGTGCGTGTGGTGCTAAATGGTATTTAAATGATACTTTTGAAGTTACTGGGGCGTGCGAGAGTGCGCCTACAAGACAAGTAACTGTGCAGAATACGCTATGCTAGAAAACCTGGATATGTGGGTGAGGACTATAAATAGCACTCCTGGGTGAGGCATTTTGCAATATATCTCGGTTGATTGGTAGTCTTATTTTTTGTGTCTTGGCCAATCATAACAGATTCGATGAGTTGTGACCACGCGATGGTTCACGTATTTCTGAGAAAGAAACCAAAAGAGTGGCTCAAAATCTCTAGACACATTCTAACTCATCCTGGAGTGTATATTGAATTAATTGCATTTGCCGTGTCATGCCGCCACCTAAAATTAGTGTCTAACAACCTCCAACTTGACATCCTCAAATTAGGAGGGCGTATGGATTGCAATAGGTGAGCTGAAGAGGGAAGGCAGTAAAAGCGCACATGACGATTGGGTGAGGGACATTGCCTGGGCTCCATCTATCGGGATGCCCGCCTCCGTTGTCGCCACGTGTGGACAGGTATGCACTGATTCTATTCGCGATAGGTTTTGGAGGTTGTGATCACTGTGTTGTTCACCGATGTCTATCAAACTATACTGCTTGTTTCGTGCGGTTTATATATTGACCGTAGATACGTTTTCATTTGACTGTTGTTTAACCTTTAGTGTTGCCGATCACCATGTGTATTGTATGACCTGACTTCGGGCGCGCATATACCACTAAATATCAACTCACATTCGCACATTGCTTGTTGCACTCGTATGCGCACTCTCCAAAAATACACAATACTGATTATACCAGTTCCTGACCCATCGCAAATACACCCGCGCTGAGAGTTTTGAGCCCAGCACTTATTTCGCTCACACATAGTCCAGTAAGATGTATCCAAGGAACTGACAAACATGCTAATATACTTTTGCTGTAAATGACTACGCTTAAAATAGGATATGAAAGTTTACATATGGACACTAGAGGGCGAAGAGTGGAAGGCGCATGAGCTAGGAGGAAAAAATCATCAATTCAACGATGTAGTCTGGCGAGTGTCATGGAGTGTGACTGGGAATATTCTAGCCGTAACGTGTGGTGATAAGGTAAGCTGAAACGAGACTTACTTGCTTTGCATCAATTGTATGCGTTTCCGGGAATGTATGTCAAGGTCGATGAGGGATCCTACTATTGAGTGAATGATGTGTTTCAATGATCGCGATGAACATCCAATACGAAAACATGTCATCGTTCTGAGATTCCGATCGACACCATAGATTCTATGTTTCGGGTAAAGTAATAGCTAAATATTTTACCTTGCAAATGATATGCTTCAACTGTGCAGTCTGCACCATAGTGATATATCGAACTAAACAATTGTATTTATACTCCAGGTTACCCTCTGGAAGGAAGCCGTTGGGAATGAATGGCAGCTCATGCAGGTCGTAGACACTCAGTGAACGACATAGCCTTGTTCTATCGCACGAATCCACAACGGACTAAACCGTTAAAGGCGTAAAAGTTAATTGGCACCCTAAACCCAAAAATAAATGTGGAATACTCTAAGCATCCACCGAAATAAACATTATTAGCACATCTCATACCTATTCTCTCGAAAAGTATTTACATAACTACCAAGTGACAAGAACTAGCTCAAATGTGGAACACCCTAAGTACCCAATTAAACATACATTCTATTTATTTATTTTTGGTGTTAAAAATACTAAAATATCAACATAGCCTCCAAAAGTTATTATTTCAGGAATGCGGAACCCTAAAAAGCATTTCGCTACCATATATAGGGTAGGGTTTAGTTTACGGAGAAGAAAAAAGCTTCTTTTCTGTTCAGGAGGAATCTAATATAATATTCATGTAGTTATGTGTTATGGCTGTTTACTGTAGCATGTGAGCCCTCTTAGCAGCACTGCAGCAGTACCCATGTAGCAAGTAGAATGTATTCCGAGTCTTCTCGCGCAAGAATGTCTTTATACACCCAATTATAAGCGTTATAAAAACCGCACGTGGCCACAAATAGACCCAATTCTGAAGAGCAAAATGCCATTCGACTCAGCTGGTTCGCCATCTCCACGGGTTCATGACACGAACGAAATCAATGGTTTCCGATATGATCTTGATGATATATCGGAAGCCAGAATATCTCCAAGAGAACATATCAGCACTGTTGCACTAAGAAAGAATAGTGGGAATGTGAGCTCGCCTCGAAATAGGTATTAATTGAGAACCTGAAGGTAGATATGCTACTTCACGATGTGGGTGGGTTCGCCGTTGTTGTTGTTATACACATAAACATATAAATACACATATCTATAATATATGTATATA